AGGTCTATGCCGGGCTTGGGGGTGATTACACACGCATATATATATATATATGCAGCAATATGCATGCAGTATGCTTCGCCCTACCAACAGTGAAGACCCAAAGGTTAAGCAGTGGCGACGCAAGGTTGCACGACAGGATCGGGGACTTGGTGCAAGGCTGTAGGGTACTGTTATTAATGCCATGGCACTTGCATGCATCTCTTGATCCGTTTACTACGTAAGTCCCTTGATCCTGTAACCTCAATTTGCTAAAGCCCTTTCGATCCTTTTTTAGCGCTGCAACAAAGCTTTGCAGGCTTTGAACAAGCCCTGAGGCAGCTGGATGGAAAAAAGATGCTGTTAGCTCTAAAGTACAGGGTCCTTATGACAGGGACTCTGCCATGTAGGGTTTAGCCGGGCCCCTCATTCAGCTCTGGAAGTTCCGAAAGAAGCCCCACTAAACCCAAAAAGACAGAGCCCCCGCAGGCTCCTTTTGCAGCAGCTGCTTCGACAAGCTCCACGCACGGGGGCGCCGTGCGGAACACCCGAGCCTCGCTTGTTTTTAGGCATAAAAGGTAGAGCTTAAGGCTTGGAGCTTCTTTCGAGGGATCTGCCTTATCAGTTTATGTAGCATTGGGATCCCGCCTTGCATTGTTTTGTTGAGCTTGGGTGTGTAGGTCAGATGTTAAATTCAGGGTCCTCAGCCCCTAAGTCGCAGTACCCGGAAGCGGGTTAGGCCCCTCACTCACTGCGATGCCCACCTCTTAAGACTTCGGGGTTCAGGACCGAAAAGTCTGAGTTGTTTCGACGTGCTTCCCACGGACCTGTCAGGCGGCAAAGCCGCAACGTTTAAGGTATGAGGAAGTCGGAATCTGAATATGTTGACTCTGTGACCACATGAGTTGTGTGCCAGAGGGGGGTTTCTTCTAGTTTGGCTCAGGTACGTTCAGAGTAGACTGCGTAGACTCCTTCAGTATCCTCCGCATAGCAAAAAGCCTAGTGTTTTGCGTTCAGCCTTTCCGTGCTTTGTAAACTGCGCCCCAACATCGAACCTCCAAGCAATGACATGCTAGTGTCGTCGGGACCGAAGCCTACTGGTCAGAAGCTCAGGGATGAACTTGACGTTTGCTTTGGGATAAGAAGGATGAGGGGATGTTCCTACCAGTAGTAGAACAAACCACGACTGCTTTGCCCGTGTGTGCATGTCATCTATCCTGAGGCGCTTGGACTTGGCATATGCAGGCTCGGACTGGGGTAGATACCTCCTAAGATCAGTATAGAAGATATGGAGACTTGTAGCCTATGGGGTATGCAACTGTGTGCTAAACCGGAAATCTGTTGCAGATATGGAAACTTGTGAAGCATGCAAACTTGTATTCCTTAAAGTTCCTTATCACATTTATACAACAACATAGCGCAAACCCCCCACCCCTTTGCCTGTGGCACAGTTCTGTCTTTAGGGTCAAGGTCTGGCGAAGGGTGCCGGGTCACGGGGGGACCTTGCGCCTGCCTGTACCCCCGCCTTAGAAGCCCGCCTGAGCCTGAGTCTCTTCTGTTAGCAACCCCTACCTTGGCTTTCACCCCCCAATGTTCTTATCAGCTTCGAAACTTCCTTGGTTTGAACTATAACTACACTACCAACATCAAAGAAGAAGTACACTGGAAGGTCCAGCTCAGACCCAGAGCCCGCTGGTAGGCCCTTCTTCCCACAAAGCAGGACCGTCCCTCTCTGTCTCTTCTGTCTCTTGCAGGCTTCAAGATGAAAGGGGCCGAGGTTCGAGCTCGGAAGCAGGCACGACAGAGAATCTTCTGATTTGGGATCTAGAGTTCAGGAATCGCAAAATCCGCGGTAGCATCAATTCCACGGCAGTTCCTTTTGTTGGGGAAAGTGCAGTCGCCGTGCCACAAGATCCTTCTCCCTGCGCGCTGGGCCAGAATCCAGCAAACCCGAAGCCCCGGCAGTCTAAGTGAGTTCTGCAGGTGGTCAACATACGCTGGCATGCCTTCTACGATGCACAAGGCACGATGGGGCTCTTGTCCTCTAAATCCTAATGTGGCAATGTTGGGTATGCATGAGGCACGGCCGCAGGATGCGGGTTTATGAGTTCGTGCTAAGTCCCAACGTGGAGAACAGTAACATCCCCAGACCCCGAAACTAGGTACTTGGCCCTATAGTTTCGTGTTTGTGCACGTTTGAGGATTGGTCCTCAACGGCGGATAGTTCAGGGTTTCGGCTGCTGTTCTTCAGGGCCGGGTGTTTTTTGTTTAGTCTCGGGCTCGCTTCCAGCAGAGGCGGAATGCAAGTTACGAACACGGCTTCCAAGAGCCGCCCCCGAGATCTTGAAATCTTAGCGCGACTAGCAGCACCAATTCTTCATCACGAGCATGACATGCTTAGTTGCTGAACCTGCGGCTTCCAACTCTAAGCATGTAAACCTCAGCTTCCAAATCCTTCTGCCCCTCGAACCTGTCGGCCCGTGCGCTCCCAAAGATAATGCCCCAAACCCGAAGCAGCGACCCCCCAAGCAAAGAGAGGTCTGAAGTTCTACTACAACTTCGAGTCTCAGCAGTCACTGCGGAAGCTCTCGGCGAAAGAGCCCCAAAGCTTTATCCAGCACACTCTTCGTTTGAAAGGTTTGGGGCGGAGTGATTATTTCTTTTTCCAGTATTTTTCCTGAGGGCTCACTAACAGTTGCATTGTACTCATACTGCAATATACGCCAAAGCCCTATTCTAATTATGAGGCTCGCGTGGCAGCCACCACCGCCGCTGCCCGTAGGTGCCGATTCGAGCGCCGGGGACAAAAAGGGGCGCTGGAGCTTTCTTGCGCGAAGCTGGGTGGGTGGTGGACTGTTCGGTTGTGGTTGTTCTGCAACTCGAAGGTACGATTATCCTGTTTCTTGCTGCGCTTACAGTGACAGAAAAGGATCGTGGAACGTTTCTTTGGTTGTCCTGTTTCCATGTCTGCTGCAGCAGAATGTCCTCTGGCTGTGGTACCGACCCAAGGCTGTTGGTTTTGGACGTAAGGGTCGAGTGACCTGGCTGTGGTAAACGGGGGGGAGTTGTATCATTCAGGGTTGAAGGCCAAAACGCCACATCCTTCATCATGTTCAGCAATGGTATAATATAGTATAGTATGATATGATATACGATACTATACTATACCATATCTGATATTCTTAAATTTTACATTGGTTACAAGCCCTACCCTTGGTTTTCGGAAGGCGCAGGTCCAGAACTTTGAGGCGGTCTCAGATGGCAGCGGCAGCACCGAGGTCCCGGGACCACTCTGTGTGGGTTGCGTGCAGGCTTGGAATTAGGGCATAGGTTTTTTTAAAGATCGGATTTTTTAAAACCCATGCTAAAGATTCAAGTCCTGGGTTTGGGAGCTGCAGCATGCGGTGGGGAGACATTCGCTGCACGCTCAAGAGGGACGTTTCCAGTAGTCCGATTCTAGGGTGTAAGTAGGGCTTGGGTCAGTGTGTTTATGTAAGTATATATGTTCTTCGGTCAGGATTGTGCTTTCCTGGTTTGGGTCCAGGGTCTGCCAAGGTGTCTAGAAGAGCAGACCCCATGAAGAAGTGGTCCGCTTTACACCCCCCTAGCAAGGCCTCCAGGATGAGTCGTCAATGAGGCGTTCGGTGTTTTGAGCCACAGCATGTCGGCCTCCAGCTGCTGTAGCATGCCTTGCTGGGACTTGGGGGCCGCTAGCTTCGAAATGAAGCCTTCAGAAGATTTGCAGTAGTCCTGTTTCGGGGTTTAGGACATTTAGGACTGTAGGGCAATAAAACTGCAGCCTGAGGCCTGCAACCCGTGTAATCCCTAGAGCACAGCACCTCAAAGCTAACTTGAACGTTTGAACGCCCTGTGCCCTTCATGCCAGTCGTGGAAATTCCGCCAGACGGCGGCCAGCATAGAGCTTGTGTTTGGGGCCTCGGTTGGGTCATGAGACTTGAGTTTGGTAAAGAAGGCTTAGGGATCTGAGTCCTTCGGGAAGGGATGCTTGGGATTATCTGCAGATATAGTCGCAGGGGTCGGGTCTGCGGTGTTCAGAGGTTGAAGATCAGGATTTGACAGCACTGGGTTTGCGGCATCAATTTCATGTACCTTGCCAGCTTCAGCCTACCTACCAAAGCTCTCACAGTATTGCTCGTTGCTGTGCCTGCTTTGGTTTGAAGCCCCACGCAGCGAGTAGGAGGAGGCCCTTGTTTCCATGTAATCAGGAGCCATAGTGTTCTATACCACAGTTCCCCATTATGGTGACTTTAAGTAATGAAGTTCCTCAGCGAGAACCCATTGATAGAGGCGGGCTTGCGAGTTAAAGACTGGCTGCAGGGCATGGGGGTTCTGAATATTGCATGTTGGTATCCCGTATAGTACATAAACATGCTATATTGCATCATGTGGCAAAATGTCATTATGCTATACATTGGGTTATGAATGGTGCTCTATTTGTATGGTGGTATATTTTTTGATATATTCAGCATGTTGTTAGATGCAGGACTTTGTGCTAAAGGGTCGGGCGCCTGGGGCATCGCCGTGCGAAAGGCAGCCCCAAAATGATCCTGTAGCTTGTGGCTGTGCATTGAATGCGGTTGGCATGCGATACTTGAAGTGCAGCAAGTTTGTAGCACCAGGACAACATTGCAAGTAAGGAGCCATCACTCACTTGTAACACTCCAGCAGCCCACAATCACATCAGGAAAAGCGCGTAGGACAGAATAGCACCATTATCGCCATAGCACAATAGACCCAGGGGCACCCCTTCAGAGAACACCCTGACGCCCAAATCAAAGTCCCGTACTATACCTACTGCCCTGCTTCGTGAACTCAGCCATGCAGGAGGCAACAACAATCAAAGTCCTGTCCAGATTGTTTTGCACTCGAAGTTTAAATAACCCCCTGAGCCCTGAACCCCCGGCGCAGGGCTTCCGAGATCACCAGGGTGTCTTCGGTATAAACGCAAACCAGCAACAATGAATCAACACAGAAGGCTCATTACGCTTGCCTGATGTGCTGCCATGATCAGCATCGTGCCGACATCAGCTGCCAGTCAGACTTCGAAGGACTACGCATCCTTGCTCGCAGGACTTTGGGCGGGGGCTTCATGCTTGAACTCACCCTCACCGTACCTACAGTCACTAGAGCCCTTCTCAGCAAAACCCGTGCAGCTACAGCAAACGAGAATCCAAGCCCGAAGCCGAGTTGCGACAATTCAATCCGAAATCCTAATCCTAAACTTGGTCAGTTTTCGGTAATTACTTTTCGTGGTTCGGGCTGCAGAGTGCCGTTTCTTATTTCCTTAAACAAGCACCCAGCAACTCCTAGGCCCTCAATGCCGAATCCTAAAACCCTGAACCTTTATTGTAGGGCGTTATTCCCCTATACCCGTCTCCGAGCGATCTGTCTGAATACTCCACCCTGGAATCCGATGTTCTATGATGCTTCTAACCCAGGGATTCCAAGGAGAGGTTTCGCTGACAGGTACAGTCACTTTAAGTGTTGTTATACTTTGTCGCTGAAACGTAGTGACGAAGCCTCTTAGTGTCGTTTCACTTTGCAGACTCGAACTCATATGCCTCGCCTGGATTGTCCGAGTGTGAGCGCCGAAACCCTAAACCCCTTCGGCCTAAACCCGTGAGAGCCCTGGAAGGAGGCGACTTGGTCGAGCAACTGAAGCAGTGCCTGCTAGGCAAATGCCGCAGCTCAGATGTCAAGGCTCCGGGGAAGTTTGGGGTTTGGGTTTAGGGTTTAGGATCTCGTCTCGTCCGGGAACTCCAAAACACGGTCAGCCCCCAAGAGCGGAATAGTAAGCTCTAAACCTAAGCGCCAAATCCTGAAGCCAACAACAGACCTCCCTCAAAGAAGCAGTAAGTTCTGAATGGTAACATGCCTCAACGATGCCATGGGGAGCAAAGCTTACCCTAGGTGGCTTTCGTGGTTTGAATTCCCATTCTGGTCCAGCACAACCTCTTCTTAGAGGAGAGAGAGACACCTTCAGACTTAAGCCCTGCCCCTATACCGCAAAAAGCCTGAACGACTTGAGGACTTTTCCGAGACAGTTACGGTATTAGGCCGTTTATCCTGTACCTAAAGGCCGCAAAATCCTAAAGCCGGATAAAAAGCTTTTAAAGCACCCTAGCAACATCATCCCTTTCCTAAGCCCCAAACCCCAAGCTTTAATGCCGGAACCCTGCGGAGGCTCTCCTGGAGCTCCGAGCAGATCCGAACAGCAGTTTCCCCTACACTCTGGGGCCCAAGGCAAGGGGGGCTTGGGGGGTTTGGGCACAGGGCTTACGCTCCTGGTTGCTGTTGAAGAGGAGGTGGGTTTTTATAGAGTCGAGGGCTTAAAGCTGTAGGGTGTCAGGTTTACAGGATTCGGTGCCGAAGGTGTGGGCCGTTTGACGCAAGATGTTTTTCGAGCAAGGTTTTTGGGTGGGTTATGGCTTACAGGGTTGGTTTTTGAAGCGATTGCTTAACCGAAGGAAACCCCGAAACACGTGCCCAATCTCGTCAGAGCATATCATGCCTTTAGGTGCGAAAAACCCTGTTCTTCGTGGGGTCTCGCTGTAAGCCCGAATACAGAATCTGCAAGGACCCTGCCAAGCAAGGACCCTATGCAAACCCAGGCCTCTAGTCTAAACCCTCAACCCTAAACGCTGGTTGCCTTCCTACGCCCCGAGGAGTTCATGGGATCGCCTTTGACCTTAGCAGTGAAGCGCGATCTGCCCAACGTTGCTCGGCAGCTGCTGTCTACAGAGGTGTTGAGGGCTAAGACGGATTAGCCTCACAGGATGCTTGCTAGAAAGGGCTGCGCATGCTCAGGCCCTAAACCCTCACACCCTCGATCCCGAAGCTGAGGTCTTGACATCGAGCCTCCCAAATTGAACAGAAGGCCACAACCAGCACCATCATCCTGTGAAATCCAGAGGAGCTACTGCACAGCTTCAAAGCAGTTGCACTCAGGACCAAAGATCGGTGCCGGCCTGCCCCAATAGCATGCCCCATCTACCCTCTTTGCATATTCGCGGACGGATTTAAGCAGGGTTATCGGCATGCTTGTATTGGTACTGTAGCTACCTAACTTGTATACTCACCCATATGACTCATATCCTTTCGTCTAGCTGCCCCTGATCCCTCAAGCAGCTCGTTGAGCTGCTTGCTTATCTTCTCAGGTGGTCCGCCTGCTCTTTGCATACCAGGCTCACCCGGAGACAGCGTACTCCATGACGGCAGGAGCCGCGATGTCACGTTCAGATGAAGTCGCGATGCGTGGTTGAGGATCCAGGCTTTCCTTCAGTGCCCCCCCTTAGACTTGTTATAGAGGTTCCGTTTTGACTGCTCTGCACACATTGCACATTTCCTAAGCTCGCCAGTTCGTGCTCGCTTGCCCAAAGTTGGTAGCAGGACGTTCTGGTGTGAGATGGACTGGCCCGGCCGTATGCGCCACCATTGCCTCTCGCTCTTGTTTTGCGAGATCGTGAAGCCTCACGGACAGCGTGTCATTCGTAGTAGACTTCGCTGTCGCAAGGTTGCATAAGATGGCAAAACGCATGAGCTTGGAAGGCCTGCGAATCTTGCATACATCCCCACGTGCCGAACTGTATTCACTTGACATCGTACACATGTCTCCTCTTCGATGACGTGGGCTTCTGAGTCGAGGGTTGCTGTTCGAGAGCTGTTGCCAGACACCTCTACTGCAAACACCGCCAAACGTGTTGTCTGGATCCTGAAGCCGGAGGCTCAGAGGCCCAAATTCTAAACCATATATCGTGGATTGAGGCAACTGGGACCAAGCTCTGAAAACCAACAGCCTCAAGTTTGCAAGTTCTGCTCTACAACCCGGACCTTGATATTCTAACCATTATAAACCCAATATAAGTAAGGCGAAGGCCTAAAACATCCCAAAGCTTCTGAAGATTCGAGGCAAGGGGCAATCTGTCGATGATGCGGCTGCTGGTGGACTTTGAAGCCAACCTGAATGGGCGGGTGATAAAGTTCAACGGCGAGCCCAACGTAACATTGCTTCTTCGAGGCATATGGGGGCTCGTCATTTTGCTGGACCGATTTCCTGCAACTTGTGATTGCTCAGACTTTTATGCCGCTAGTTTGATGCCTCACCAAGGCTTTATGATGCAAGCTACTTCGGCCATGCGCATCTGGTGCGGTACCTGTTGCAGCAAAAGGGCAACCCGGACACCGCCGTCAAGTTTCAGGATCCTGGGCCGAGAATGTGGCGTTTAGGGTGCGCAGGGCAAAGGAGGAGCTTACATGATTAATTGCTGACAAAAGACTAGACTAGAATGTGAAAGTCTGCGGGGAAACATACAGAAAACCTGCTTCTACAATGTATTGTAGAGTCAGATGTCGTAGACGCTTGCCTCATTGCCGGGTGTCGTTGTGATCTGAGGACGACATGACGATCACCAAGACTGCCTTACACATCGCTGCATCTTTGGGCCACGAAGAGGTGCATCACAAAGATCGCATGAATAAAGCCTGTTACACCCCCCAAATCCTTAGAAGTGCGTCGAAGATGTAACTCCAGGTAGTGCGGGTTCTCTTGGCGGCGAAAGCACAGATCTCCCATGCTTTGGCCGATGGGGGTGGGCCACCGGAGCTAAAAGATGCTTCTTGGAGACGAGGAAAGCAACATGGTTTGGGCTGGGCTTTTAGGCGTTTTTTCTTCGCAGATGAGTTCGTAAACTGCAAACTTTTTAGGTCTACCTGACCTCCTGAACGGTGATGTTGTGCTTTTGTTGGATAGTTTTCGTGGGTGGCAAAGGGTATGTATGCAGGTCTTAAGGCCTTCTAGTGAGTTCTTGTGGAATCCGGGTTCCTGGGGTCGTTGTTGATGTGAGGCTGTGGATGGCTGTCACGTGGAGGCGACTTGGCGCCAGTTTTGGGGGCTTTGATTTTTGGACTGCAGTGCACCAGTTACTCAGTTCGTAGGATGTCGACAAACTGTACTGCTTTTCGGCAAACCTCCCGCACCGCCCACAACAAGGAACATCACAATGTAGAAGCTGCCGTCGTTTCAGGTACTTGATTGAGGCACTCAGTGGGGAGATTTGCCAGGACATGGTGTAGGACCCTGATTAGCTTGAGGTTTCGAAGCAGCTAGAGGGTGACGGGAGCCATCTCTGTAAGTTTCTGTTCTGCCGAGGTCGTTAAATTGCTCGTTCAAGGCGGGGAACCGTGAATGTGAGCTCTAGGTGCGGCATCAGCAGTAACATGCATGCATACATGTGCGATTCATTTCAGAAGTCGGTCCAAACTTCACCCCTATTGCATCAAACTCGTGCGTTCGAAGGAAGCATGGCTGCAGGGTAATTAGTCCGATGGAATCAATGATTGGGGATTGCAACCCGGTATCTGGCAAAGACCAAAACCGACACTAGTTTACAAAAAACCTACTGGACATGTTGGATTCCTGTCTGCGCATGCATAAATTCAGGGTTCGAGGCCTGCCTGCATAGGGTGATTGGATGGAGTGGAACATTGTCGCTCTGGCTGCCCGGGCTGTGCCTGTGGCTTGGCAAGAGTCGTGTCGCACCTGGCAGCAGCTTCGTGACGCCACTCTCCAGAGGCGTGCCATCAACCCTTGGGAAGATGCTAAAGTGCTGCTATCCTTTTGGATGGGGACTAACCTGCCGGGCCTGATGTTGTTGCTGCTGCACTGGTCCGCCATGGCTGGGCATCTGGGTTGACATGTGGCATAAAGTTCAGTCTGCCGTCTTGTTGACAAATGAGAGATCAGTGCTAGTGATCGGAAACCTAGGTTTTATTGCGGCCTCATGCTGGGCGCGCTCCTCGTTTGGTGTTTGGTCGCACCCTGGGTTCTGGAAAGATCCAGAGGCGTGACTTATATGAAGGACTCGTCCCTGAGAAGATTTCGCAGCATGCACACGAGCAAACACAGCGATTACAAGAATCATACTGGTGCTTAGGGCCTGGGGAAATCATGAAGCGAGCTAACGGATGTATAGGCTGCACTTGCAAGTGGCCGTGGCAAATGGCACAGGAGTGGTGGCAAAGCTTCAAAAAAGCACCTCAGCAGTGGTGGCAGAAGCTCAAGGGCACCGGGCATCCAGCGGGTGTTTTGCGGGGCGAAGCGCGTCTTGCAAGTCCAGACAGACTATGCTTCTGTGTTGGGCTGTCTGGCTACACGAACCTAGGGCCTTGATCGAGCAAAGCTGTTTGGGCTTATGGTCATCGCAAGGAATCGCAAGGGGGCTTGAGTGCAATGCTCATAGGTCCATAGGCGGTGACGACTCCGTACGCTGTGTCAGATATGAAACTGGCTTAGCGGCTTAGCGCAGGAACCGCGACTGGCAAACTCTCCCCAAGGCAGCCGCGGATGCTGCCAAGGTTGCTGAAGCATTCCGTTCCCTTGGATACACTGCCCATGTGGAGAAGGATGTAGCCGACGCCAAGGACCTCAACGTGCGATTGGATTGTTTTGTAGACAGCTTGTCGCAGCCCATTGAGGCCATGACTCTTATGATTTATTTTGCCGGCCATGCCGTCGAGAAGGACGGACTGTTGCATCTTTGCATGTGCCGTGCAGGAGATCTGACCGCGAACTGCTGCGGCTTAGTACCAGCTGCAGAACTCACCCAAGGGCTGGTGGCTAAAATCTTGGCAAAGACTGGACCCTCGAAAAAGTTGGCATGCATCGCCCTGTGGGACTGCTGCCGTCGACGGCTCCCCGGGGTTTCGACACACATACGGGGCCGGAGCATTGGAGACATGGGTAATATTAAGCATCAGTATGGCGAGATCAGGTCTTGTCTTTTGAATCGCTGGGCGGTGGATGGAGCTTTTGCGGATGCTCTTGACTACTACCTGAAGCAAAATGAGCCATACTCTTTTCAGGAGTTGTACGAATTTGTTGGCGCTGTTGTCTTTCGTACCACTCAAACCAGGCAGATGCCCGAGATCATATGCGAATCAACGGAGCTGTCGTCGCGGCGCGACCTGTTCGTCACGCCTGAGAAGTTCGAAGAGAAGTGCAGGCAGCTGGAGGAGCTAAAGCAGCAAGACGGCCATTCTGTTTCAGCGCCAATAGAAAGTGCATCTATGTCAGACAACCTTGAGTTCAGAACAGAAGCCCGGAGGCACCGGAAGGAAGCTGAGCAGCTGCGAGAGCAGCTGCAGGCCGCGATGATGGTGACGACGGAAACTTCGGAACAAGATGCATGGCTTGATGGCGTGAGACACCCCTCGGCCCAGTCTGCATGCTGGTGCATGCTTGCTGGTTCATGCGTAATGTTGACGCTCGTTTCAGTCATTGGCGGGTTACTTTGGTGGAGCCGCATAACAGACTTGAACGAGGCTTTGCACAGGTGCGAGGAGGAAGTTTCAGCCGAGTCGATGCGTCAACGGAGAGACATACAAAGTATGTTGCCTCCTGGCTGGCACAGTCTTTCGTGTTGCACCTTGATCGTCTCTGTGCTCTTTGCGTGGTCTGCGCGAGGCGAGCTTCAACAGGAGCGACAAATGAGGCAACAGCTTCTCGTGCTCCTTGGGCAGGAGCTGCAAACAAGTGCCAGTTTGGAAGCACAGCTTGAAGATTCGGAAGGCCGATGTCGAGAGGAAGAGGGTGCAAGGCGGGATATAGAACGAATATTCGAAGGGGTGGTGGAGCGCGGGCGACAATTCAGGCAATCCTTCGAACAGCAACTTGCACTCCTGCTGCAGGAGCTAAACGTTCTGGAACTGTCGTTTGAAGCTTCGGAATGCAGATGTCGAGCGGAGGAGGATGCAAGGTGGGATTCAGAACGAAAGTTGGAAGATGTCACAGAACAGTTGCGACAAGCCAGGCAAAGCTCTGAACAGCAGCTTGCTCACCTACTGCAGGAGCGACAGACCAGGGCCGATTTGCAACAGCAGCTTGAAGCTTCGGAATGCAGATGTCGAGCGGAGGAGGATGCAAGGCGGGATGTAGAACGAAAGTTGGAAGATGTCACAGGGCAGTTGCGACAAGCCAGGCAAAGCTCTGAACAGCAGCTTGCTCACCTACTGCAGGAGCGACAGACCAGGGCCGATTTGCAACAGCAGCTTGAAGCTTCGGAATGCAGATGTCGAGCGGAGGAGGATGCAAGGCGGGATGTAGAACGAAAGTTGGAAGATGTCACAGAGCAGTTGCGACAAGCCAGGCAAAGCTCTGAACAGCAGCTTGCTCACCTACTGCAGGAGCGACAGACCAGGGCCGATTTGCAACAGCAGCTTGAAGCTTCGGAATGCAGATGTCAAGCGGAGGAGGATGCAAGGCGGTATGTTGGTCTAATATGTCGAGGTGTTATTGATGGCTTACAAGAGAAATTTGAACGCCATGAAACGCATTTTTCTGAACAATTGGCCGCATTGGAGTCATTGAGGCGAGCATTGGAGTCAGTGGAGGGACAGGAGCAAACGTGACAGGCGAGGTTGACAATGGCCAGGGAGAGTGGCCATCTTACTTGGATGCCCCCACACCGCCGAGATCTGTGGCCTCAGGGGCACTGCGCAGACTGCCCTTTGTGTGGGAAGGAGGTTGGCTATGAGCATCATTGGCGGAGATATCGCGCGCGCACTCACCACCACAGATCTCCGTCTGCGCGCATACGTATAAATGAACCTGCCGACACATGATGAAACATCTAGTGTGCAAGGAAAACGGGCTGCGACGCAGTCGATGCAAAGGCTGCCGGTGTATCGTGTTTGCCTTCCAGTGCACGACTCCGATCAGACTCGGCAGGCGCTCGGAGCAGTACATCCAAAAGATTGCCAATGAAGTTTCCGGGTTTGCCTGCAGCTGCACACACTTCCTATGAAATATTCCGACTTTCTCGCAAATGTCGACTTCGGTCAACATATATATATATATATATATATACATACGTAGATGCCTGATGTCAGTGGCCTCAGAGCAGCTTCCGGTCCAGAGTTTTGCGTTTAGCCTGTTGGCTGCGAATGGATGCGACACTCCATTCCATCTCCAACAGTTCACGAAAAGGATGGTTCCGGAAACCGATGCCTTGAATCCCGAACCTTTACCTTCCCGAACCCAGTGCTCTTTAGCTTCTTTCCTCGCCAGCTTGCCCAGTATTGCCCTTGGTTGATTTCGTGGCTCTTTAGAAAATCCTTCTTGTCTTGACCACTGTGCGTTCAATTTGGATCCTGGTCAGCTCATGTTCAGGGAAGGCCGACGTCTTCGGTGGGGATGTGGGCAAGCGCGGCATCGATCACCTTTTTGAGGCCAGAGCTTGGGGAACTTTTTGCAGGCGTTTGAAGCGTGGGTTTAGAGATTTTGAGCCAGGGGACGTGTCTAGGACTAGGAGTTTAAAGGCTTTGAAGCTCAGACTAAACGTGAGCTTCAGGGGATAATTGCACAGTTTGGGGCTGGTGCCCATGCGGCAGAGCTCAAATTAGGCTCACGGCCTGTTCTTGCTCGGTTGGCGCGTATCCAGGGCCTCAGACCCTAGATCCTCCAAACTGTGAGAGTCCGGCCCGCTTCATCCTGGCACTTCGATATCCGGAAATGCAGGAAAACTTATTTCTTTGGGCTATAGTTTTCATCCTCCTTGAGCAAGTTTGAGGGCGTCGGAGAAGCGGCGGCTTCTTGACTTCATGAAGCCCCTGAGCAGTCCCCGAAATCAAAGTCTGGCAGCAGCTCTGGAACGGTGTGCCTTCTCAACATGCCAAGTCGTCTCCAAGCTTGTAGCGTGGCCACCCACCAGAGCCACGGCAAGACCCTAGGCGCTGCTTGCCTCCAGCGATGCGCGAGTCGAAACCCGAAACTCCAAATCATCAGCCGTAAACGAGTCGAAACTCCAACATCCGCGCCAAGCCATCCCAAGAGCCCTAGAGAAATCGAAGGCAACAATAAGCTGACGTGAGGCCAACAATTCCGTCTTGGTGGCGGCAGCTGCCACGGGTCTGAAACAGGCGACGAGCTCGGGAACCTCTTCCATGCTGGTTGAGGCTGGGCCTCCCCTCCTGCATTTCGGACAGCATCGCTTCTTATTCAAGCATTGTTACAGAAACAAGAGACTTGTACAGCTACATCGATGTTGTCTGTTCTTGCTAGTTCAAAAAATGTTGGTTTCGTGTTGGAATTCTTGGCCTCGGCTTGTAGCCTTTTTTGTCAGGGCTGGCGGCTACAACCGTAAAAGCCTTGCCTGAAAGCCACGGTGTCGTGCCAGGACTTCATCCACTTCCTCTCAACGCCAGATGCCGAGGAGATTGTCAACGCAGTCTTCTGCAACTGCGAGCTGCGCTATTGGCAAGGAGAACGCCGGCTGGTTTGGCGAACTGCATACGTGCCGCATGGCGACATGAATGTGGCTGTCGGACCGACAAAGGAACATTTCGAAAGGAAGTTCCAGCATGAGATGGAACGGGCGGCATCGCAGAACACAGGACGGGTTGTCAAACCGAGTTGGTCTCTTGCACTTAACTTTCTTAGGGCCCTCCCGAAATGGACGAACAACCCTGAATCCCAGAATTCTTGCCTTCTGACCGGAGTCCTGAGTAAGAGTCCGACTTGCGGGACTTGCGAGAGTCCAAGCCCCCAGGATTTGCCGAAGGATATCAGGACGGTGAGGATGAGGACTTCCTGTCGTGCCTCCTTCCTCACAGGTTCGAGAAACTGGTTGGCCAGTCCCAGATACCGGCACCTTGTTTGCTGAAAAGATTACGCCTAGGGTGTGGGGGTGTTAGGAGGTTAATGCCTCTTCGTCACAGAGCCTTACGACGCGGCAGGGTGTTTCGGGTTTTCTAAAGCTCTCATACGAAGGAACACAGACACTCCAAGAGCGTGTTGCTGATCTATATCCCGACCATAATTTCAGAAGAACCCCTCAATGAAGCAATCTTGGGGCTGCTGGGTCTGTTGATTTTTGTGGTGTTAGGCTTGTGATGGAGCTGTGTGGGAATTACTTATGAAGCCCCACACCATGAACCCAAAGCTTGGCAGCTGTCAGGTGCACATTTTTCAGTGCCTCCTGCCCGGTCTGCACAGAGACCCAGAGGCATTCGAGTTACGGTGCCTGTCGCGCCCCAGGGTGTTGGGATGTAAATGTAGAGGGCTCAATTCAGGATGACCACTCCGGAAGCAAAGGCGTCTCGAACTGCACAACAATCCTTCGGACGAAGTTCACTTTTCGTGTCAGCGTTTTCGAAGGGTCGCAGATCGCATGTACAAGCTTACACCTGCTTGCAAGACCCAACACGGTCGCAGACCCCCTCTAGCCCTGCGCCACACCACTCTGACAGCTACCGGCAGGTCTTGTGGGTGATCGCTTCTGGGATCAACGACCGCATCTTCGATCAGAAGGGCGCGAGGGCCATCATTCAGCTGGCCTGGCGGGAAGCGGAGATCTGGCAGATCATCGCTTTCGCCCTGGCGCCTTGGCCCTGCGCTTTGCATGGGACGGTTTAGCAACTCCTGTCTGCGGAGCGCCACCTTTACCGCTACCATGCCCGACCGACCTGGGATGTACAGATATGCCCCGAGCTTCCTAAACTCCAGGAGGACATTCCTGAAGAGCTATATACTCGAAATGGCAGAGCCTTCAATCTTGCATGCTGGCGGGCTTGGTGGCGAGAGCCTTCAACACCAAAGCCCCAATCCGACCTCGCCTTAAACTCATATCAAAAATCCTGAAGCAGCAAGCCCAATCTCGAGGCAAGCACGCCTCAATGATGCCCTGCCATTTGCAGATCTCTATCAGCACAAAGCCCCCGAATCTACTACGTAGTTCTGATCCCTGATAACTATAAATCTACATAATTACAAGTTATAAGTAATACAAGTTGTATAAGCCCCAAAAGCACCCAAAGCCCCAAACGCCCTCAGCCTTCAGGATGTTATTCATCCTTCTTCCTTCAGCTTAAGCATATTTAAGCCCTGAGCTGAAACCCCGGAACCCTTCAGGATGTCATAATGGCAGTTCTCTTCGCTCTGATGGCCTTACAGCTCCTCGGTGTGCTCACTGACGGCCACGAAGACTCACACTGGTCGAGGGGTGGTTGGGGTTTAGAGCAAGGTCGTGGTTTTTGGGGCTTACTCCTTGCGGATGGGCATAGGAATTTTGTTGCAGGGTTTCGTGGATGATGATTTAGCATGCAAATTTGCGGGTTTATAGATTTCGCGGCTTAGGTTTTGGAGTTTTCCACCCGTGGGATTTTCGGTTTCGGCCCTTGTAGCAGTGAGGGGAGCTCTGAGCCAGTCTGTCCCGGATCCCGTAAAGCCTCCCGAAGCCCCGAGGACTATTTAGTTTTCTTTTGGATAGGGGAACTTACTGTACTAATTCGAGCCCGTGCCTTCGTTTTCGTGCTCCTTGGAATGCTGAGACCCGAGGCTCTACGATGCGGAGTGGGGCAAAATAGTTGAGCTGCGCGCACCGTGCTTGATCATCGCAGCGCTGACACTTGGCTGGCTCATATACGGGCACCCCAAACGTCCCGGTCACTACACTTTTAGAAACCCAAAGTTTAGCTGGGCCCCTGTGAGAGTCTTCCCTTATATGCAAGCATAGCCTAGTAATCCATCAGGTAGGGCACGGTGCGTTAATAGACATGAAACCCACGGGGGCAGCGGCTGGCTGAACCCAGCTGGAATGCAGACAGCAAAGCTTTACTTGGACGCACTTTAGACTCTAACTTTAGGCTGAGCAAGTCGGCTTAGTACTTCTGACCGTCAACCCATACAACAATCCCCCCGATTCATCTTACTAACCCTACTTATGATGGAGATGACTCGGCCTCGACACATCGCCACACAGGGGTCCTTGAGTGATCACATATGCAGATTGCGCCTCGATTAGAAGCACTTGGCAGCATCAAACATTGTCGACGCTCAAAACCCATAAACCCCCAAGCCGTGGTGCAGTCTTCGTGTGCCCATCATCTCCAGGATTTGGCTGCGAAAAGTCAGCCACGAAGTTTTATCTTGTCTCGGGCACTTTGCACACGGAAAGCTCAAGCAGCACTTCTTATCCGTGGGCTTCGCAGGACACTTTGAGCATGTTCCTTCAAGTTCTAAGCCCTACACCACATAAATACAAAGCTCCACCCAAAACCCTAGATTCCCCCCCATGATGCAAGACACACTCCTGACTCCTCTTTGCAGGCGTTCTAGCTCTATCATGGCCCTTGGTGGTTTAGCTTCTTCGGTTCGTGCTTAGGGTGCAGATATCTAAACCAGGCAGTCCGTATGGGGTTCCGGGTTGTGAAGAGTTGCTGGCTGTTTCAGGAGACGTGGTTCGAATATCGATCACAGCTGTCAGTCTCGTTGGCCTGTCCATCAACTGGGGGGCATTTCAGACCCAGCAAGAACTGCAGCTTCTTGACGGCTTGTTGAAAGCTTCAGGCCCCAAGACTTCAGGTTCGAAACTCATGTTAATGATTCTGACCTCTCTTGTAATCCAACTCCAAAGCCTCCAGACCTTGCGGATCATATTCGTGAGTGGTGAGGGGAGCATTGCGGTTGAGACCTTTTGGGTGTAGGGCATGTTTTGGAAGGTGGGCGCAAGTCAAGTCCTGAAAATTTTGTCGGCACTTGCAGAGCGCCGCATTGCGACCAGTTTTTTGCATGCTCATTTTTTCACCTAGTACGTAGGCTCGTGCTGGTTGAATATACCTATACATGTATTACGTAGTAGTCTTTGTTTTATCTGTGCGAACTCAGCGTTTGATTGTGCGCAAACTTCAGAATTGACCATCAGGTTGATTTTCGCTTGTGCTGGCTTCCTCCGGTGGCTCCGGGTTCTCAACAGCCTCAAAGGATTTGAGAGCACTGGCAAACCGATGCTGCCTATTTTGCAAGCTGTGCCGGCTACGGGCCCCTTCTTCTTCGTGGTCTTCTGCTGGTTTGCTGCCTTTGTGCATTTGTACTACTCCTTCGGACTGGGTGACTTCTGGAGTGGCACCACAATTCTGTACAACCTGGGGTTCCTAGCAGAAACCTCGGATGCGATGCTCCCAGCGGGTGACAACGCTGCTCAGTGGCGTTTGCTGGTGGACTTCGTTATCATGGTGCCTTGGCGGCGCTTCGGCATCATCTCCAGCTTTCGAGCTGCCTTTGTTTTTCCCGCGGCTGCCTCGGCAGCGTGGGGTCAAATGATTGTGTTGATTCTGAAACCGACACAGTTCAGCCTTTGCAGGTCACGTGATTTGAGGTTTGTCCACCAACAAAGCCGAGCCCGAAACCCCAGACCCGAGATCGTAAATTGTCAACCCGAAAGTCTATAGACTTCTTTCAGCACTGACAGGTCATGAGTTTCAGCATGTCCATTATCTTGCTCAACGTGCTCATCGGCGTTCTCGCCGAGAGCTACAATCGAGGCGCCTGAAACCCAACCCCCCAGAACAAACTAAATCAGGACCCACCAACAGATCCGTTGTGGTCTGTAGAGCTTAGAGGTTGGTTTGGTTTGGGGCTTAGTGTTCAGGGGTTAAGAGGTTGATTAGGGCAGGCTCAGAGTTGGGTGGTTTGAAGACTCAGGGATCTACGTCCAGGTACGGTTCGGGGCTGACAATCTGGAAGTGCACAGGACAGCATCAGAACTGCCCTCCGAGATCCCAAGCCCCAAATCCTGTCGAACCCTGCGTCGGAAGAGAAGCCAGGAGAGGATGGGAACAAACCCTAAACCCTGAACCCAGTGTGAGCATCGAAAACCCTAAACTCTAAACCCGAAACAACCCCAAAACGAGAGAGAAGCAGAGAGGATGGGAGCATCGGGAGCGGCTCTTCCTCTTGGAGCGGTCGCGCTTCTTGGCGACTCCGGCGCCGATTAAGAAAGTGTTGAGCCTTATTATACGGTTTAGGAGTGATAGTTTAGGGTTGAGCCTTGAGGGACCTGGAGTGGGCAGTGAGCTAAGCGGTAGTTTTCCTTACAGTCCGATGCTATTTTGAGATGTCGGCTTTGTGGGGAGGTAGTGTAGGTTTCATGTTTCATGGGCTAGGCTTCGATCCCGAAGATACCCCACATGTGAGGTGAACCACTTCACCATGTCCTATGCCTGGAAGAAGCTCATCGCGAGTTTCGGGTTCGGCCCCGCGCAGGGTTGCAGGATGTTGCAGGGTTCGTGAACTCGCGTTGCCAGATAGCCATGGGCCCGAGGGCTCTGGGATGGTGACTTTGCCTCCGACGGCTCCCGGGCAACCAGAAGTCTGAGTCTCGTGATCTTCGCAGCTCAGGAAATGCCCTTGTCAAAAGCGACGAGTGCGGGGTGAGGAGGATGCGGACTATGCCATCCGGCTGAATCAGGCTTTGTACTACGGAAGTTGGCACAGAACTGAACTGCCGTGCAAGAGCGGACGGGGACTCTATGTACAGTTTCAGGTGTTGTGCGGCGTATGTACGCTGCATCTGTATACATATACACTCAGTTCAGTAAAGTATAGATGTAGTTCGATGCGTATAGTTGGACTTTGATGTTTGCATCGGCGCCGACTGACGTGATACAGCGCCATACAAAAAAGCTCAATTAACATACAGATGTCGGTTGCAGCTGTGTTCTGAACTCTGCTTCTCAGATCAGATCTGCTTCGTGCGTGACAAGGTTTGGTATGCCTATCCACGTGCGCCGTCCAGCTGGGGGGACATCAATTCGGACTTCGATAGCACCTCGGACGAGTCCTTCGCACATCTTCTAGGGTTCGGTTGGGTTTTGGGCTGCATGTAGGTGTTCTCAAAGTTTCAGGCAGTTGGGTGGTCGTCCGATTGCAGTTTTCATGTGCCCGCACCGGCAAAAACCAGCACGAAATGAAGCTAAGGCATGGACATGAACGTCCACGAAAAGATGTCCGAGCTCCGACGCGAGGTCTGAAGAGAAAGCATGTTCTGGGGACGTGCAGGTACATATGAGTCAATCATGCATGCCATGCCTGTATGAATGAGTATATATACATTCGTCATACATGCACACAGGCATGTGTGTACTTGTAAGGTCGGCAACATAGGCAAGTAAGCATGTATCCTGACCTCGTCGAGTGTGAGTGCCAAAAAGTATCTATTTGAGTATGTATGCGTGACGCCCTAAAATCTGGAGACCAGTAGCCTGACCCCAAACTGCTGTGTGAGTTGTCTTGCAACTACTGTCGCATTCTTGGATGGGTCATTGGTCGATGGGTTAATCCACAGAAGCTTCCTGCGTGCAGACGGATCTCTCAGCTCAACAGGCCCCATACTACTCGTTACGACATGTGGAAGCGCCACTAGATAGGTATGGCATCTGGAACAACGGAGAGACGAAATTAAAAGCTCCTATACTATGGGGGGCCTGCGTAATTATCAATGTTAGTCTTGAGGGTTCCTTATTGCATTTACCTTGTATTTTAAGCCGAAACCAGATGCACATGATTAAAGCCCCCTAACCTCTTTGAAGGTGCGAGAAGCCATGCAGAAGTTGTCGGAAAAGTCGCAAGCTCAGGAACCGCCTGCAGCGCAAGAGGGGTAAAAAGGCTCAAAGGGAACATTTGTCATTGCCCGAAGGGGTTTTTGAGGTGCTAAATTAATTAATAACTATTCAGACCGGGTTTCAAGCTTTACCACATGTATGGACTGTAGAAGATTCCTAAGCCGTGTTCTTGATACGTGGGGGCATGTTGATTGGCCTCGCGAGTTGTAGTTCTACGCCATACGAATTTTACAACTGAAAGCTAGAAAACGCTTGGAAAAGCCTGATCTATCGATGGCCCCAAGCCCTACGAAAACCCTGCCTTATCCAATCGTGATACAAAAAGCACTTTGGAAGGACCCCTAGCAAGCCGATTCACGCATACTTCATTGCACTCTGCTGTTTGATAGGATAGCATAGTCAGTATAGTATAGTATGTGGCGCGAAAAGTTGTACAAAGTATATAGAACTGAAAGTATACAGCACGCAGTATATAGTATATGCTGGACACAGTGGCATTTACAATGTAGTATATATATATATATATATAGTCTACCGTGTTTCTGCGCAGGATCCGACTCGAATTGCCGATGTGGAGAGGAAGGTCGATGACGTGCGCGCCCGGCGCCCCAGTGCTCGGGATGAAGGGTTCATGGGGTCTACACAGGCTCATAGGCTTTGAATAGGGTTTGGGCAGGTTGTCCCATTTTTTGGCACTGAGGCTCTTAAGCCTCTTGTCCTGCATGGCATGGGCATACCTTTACATGGAACAGCTTCCGGCTGGTTTGCTTGGACAGTTGGCAGTGATGAGACGCCCCGTGTGAAGCCATGTCTGCATTGTGCGAGCGCGCGAGTCCAAACAGCTTGAAAGGGCTTCGTCCCTATGCCCCAATGTCGTAAAACTGAACCCCTCCAGGCCTAAAGTCCCAAATCCTGCTTCCATCTGCTTCCCAAACCGCAAAAGCCCAAATCCTTAAATTAAATCCCGAATGCGGTGAACCCAAAAACCGCCAACCTCAAGCGCTAAACTCTCCAAACCCTCGCAGTCTCGAGAAGAGCAGGCAATGCTCGAGCACTTGACTTCGACGCTGCTACAGGTGGGGCTGATCGACATGGTGTCCTTTTTGTTTTCTTCAGAGTTCTGCATAAGAGGGTTTAAGGTTTACGGTTGCAGCTTTGGTGATCGATGCAGATTCTGTTGCCTGCGTTTACGGGAGCTTGCTTTGCTGTAGTAGTTAGAAGTCGCAAGAAACTTGGAACAACCATTGAGACAACAGTCGCATACTCAGTAGTCATCGTCATAACAAACATGTACAGCTAGCAGCAACCGGAAGGGTCCAACTATGAAGCTATATAACAAGTTACGATCCTATACCCAAGTACCCTATTGCAGGGTCCTTTGGGCCCCTTGGGCAATAGCAACAAGTGTTTTATTGTGGGAACCTAGTTGCTGCAGGATCGCCGGGATCCTTTCGGCTGAAGCCCGACTCTGGAACGAAGGACCCGAGGTTAGGAATGGTGGTCTGGGGGGGATTAGGGACGGTCTAGGCTTTCAAGTCCAAGGTTTGGGATAAGAGAGCTTACGGTTTGCTACAGAAGAGAGGGCGCGGCTCTATGAGATGCTTATACAGATTTCTCATCTAAACCGTATCCTAGTCTAGATGCTAGAATCAAGCCCGAGCCCGGTCATCTGCAAGTAAGTGGTTTTCAGTCATTCTTCGACCACCACAGGGCTGGGCAGCTGGGAAGACCCGAAGTGCTAGTGCAAGGTTAAGAAACATCAGTGTCCTTAAGAGGTGAGGGCCTCGTGTCGGGAGGTCGCGTCTTTGTCAACTGCCCAGCCGTCTGTCCACTTCCTTCTATGGCGGCCCTGGCCGTCTTTGTACAAAGCCATCCAGAACAGTTTTGCTGGAACATCCGGCGAGACACTTCTTGGCATAGGCGCATCTCTCGCAGAAGAAGCAGCGCTGCATGAATTGAGGGTCGTTGATGCAAGGCTTGAGTGTGTAGAGTTCAGGCTATACCCGGCTCAGATAAGGCGCCGGATCTTGGATCGTATTCTTCGGGGTTGAGGTTTTGGAGAAGCAGGTTCTCTCTGCCCAGAACCCAAACAACACTGTTGGGTTCTTGGAGTCTCGCTGGAAGTGTCCGCCCGGCCTGTAACGGCCGAGCTTCCGAAACGGCCTCAAACCCTTAGCAGTGATCCTTTCAAGGGCTCCAGAAAAGAACAAGTAATGCCAAATCACCTTTTACAGTCATTCTGTTTGTAAGCCAAATCCCCAATGCGCCTTGTTTGGCTTCCAGCCGCTCAGAAGAAAGGAAAGCAGAATGATACGAAAGAACTGAGGCCTCCGTCTGTGGTCGTGACGGATGTAGACAGCGATGGCCCGACATCCACGACGCTGGGATCTGCGAAGGGCTTTCAGGGCTAGGCCATGTCACGATGTAGAATTCTATGTTTCTGCCGGCTTCCGGGCTTGTTCAAGTTGTTTGGGCTTGTATAGAACTTCCTCAGGCCAGGGAACTCAGCAGCCGAGAAGATCTTCATTAGCCCTCCCCGCTGAAGTCTGTGCACCCCATACCCTCCACTTTCTTCCGCTTGCTTCAAACCCCGAAACCCGGTTTCGGGTTTATAGGGCTAGGATCGAGGGAAACCCCAAGAGCTGAGGAGAGTGGTCTCCTTTGCCGCCGAGCCGGAGCTGGAGCCACTACGCCGCAAAGAAAAAAACAGCCGTGCACACATGCAAACTACGGAACTGGTACATGCGTTCATTCCGAGGTGTGCTTTCTTTCCGAAATCCGCGGGTTTACTTCGGGCTTAGCCGTAGTTGGAAGTCTTGGCCCAGAGCAGCAACTGCCAAGTCCTAGCATTGAGCCTCGAGCGTTCAATGGCCCATATGCAAGACTCCGTGGCGTGTGTTTGCGTGACATCTCTTGAACTAAGTTTTGTGTTGTCATTGAAGGCATACTGGTTCTGGCCAAGCAAGTCTCAGTATCATACATTGACCTGGCCCACGTGGTGCGAAGCATCTCTTCATCGTCAAGCCTCTGTGCGATACTGCAGACTGTTCGTCCCATACCGTTGGATCATTCAGAGGCATGCTCTGTCTGGGCGATACTATAAGTTTCATCGGGTTTTGTGATTCTCGTTGAAGTGTTCGATCTGTAGGGGTTAGAGATATGATATCCTTTTGCTGAGTGTAGGACTTGCTTTGTTTCAGCCCGGATCAGGAAGCCGGCAGAAAGCTCTAACACAACTCCCTGGTGCTTAGTAGGGAATGGGGGAATGGATCCTTATGATAGTCACTGATAGTCCCTATATACTCCCCAATGGTGGTCTCCACAATCCATTCCCCCATTCCTTACGAAGAACCAGACAGACAAAGCCCTTCTCAAACATCTCGGAAAGCTCAGGCCAGCTCCCAGAAAGAGTCGCTTCGACGGCAAGGTGCTGTGGGCTATCGGGTCTGCCGGGTGTAGCTAGCTATAGCCTCCTTTGTATTTTTCTTGGCGTGGACCAGCAGTTTTAGAACTAGGACCAGGATCCCATATCAGGTAACCCAAGAAAGGAATTGCAATGGAGACTATAGGTACTGTATCGTTTTTGTGACATGACTCGCTTCGTGGGTTTAGGCTTCAGAGTATTGCAGTTAGTAGGCACGAGGGCTTCCGGGGTGGGAGTTTGGCTGGGGTGGAGGAACTGCCACGCGACTTTCTTACGGGTCCTTCTGGGTCCCATGCGAAGGGCCCCAGGGTTTGAACTACACTGGGTTTGTTCTGATGATCGGATGGCTAGGTGTCTCTTGCAGAACTCTTCATCCACCCAAAAAGGCCTCAGAGTTCGCATCAGCAACCAGCACGTCAAAAAGACTCCACGAAAAATTGAATCAACAGGCACGGGTTACTCGCATCTCGAAGCGCGATCCTGACGCCATGAAGGCGAGTCTGATGGTGTGGGGTTCATCCTTTCTCCGGCAGACTGTGCCCGTAGTCAGTGTACAGATTGCTTGGTTCAGGTGCAGTGTTGCGGGAGGTTTCGCGATGTCGGCTTCTTTTCATGGCTGCTCAGTCTCCTAAGGCTGAAGTTGTGGAAGGGCGTTGACTGTCAGCTTGCTGAGATATGTGGGGCTGATTGAGTACCAACACGCTTCCTGAGGGTTCAACTATAACTTTAGCAGTGCCCAAACCCCATTCCAGGCATTGAGGCTCCTGTGTTCCAGGACTCTATACGTCTCCTCTGCCCTAAGGCATACCAGCTTTGTGGCCTCATGGAACCCCACTGAAGGAATCCTTTGGGGGAATCCTCAGATTTGTACATACAGCTGTCGAAGGAGCTGCGGAAGACCATCCAGCAGAAAGCAGAGGAGCGACCCAGCAACCCTTATCTTGGCGCGCGCGGAGTTCTAAGGTTGAGAGTTTAGGGTTTGTAGTGTTGCGACCCGGAAATAGTCAGGGCAGGGCCTCGGCGCGCATGAAGCTTGGTTTCATGGGCTTTATGTAATCCAGCCGCTGCAGATCTGTTCAGGAGAAGCATTTGGCTCCATCCAGGATTTCGTGCACTTCAGTCCTGTGTCTTTACGAAAAGAATCACAAAACTAAGGTAAGGCAAGGGGAGCCATGCACTCTCCCCAGGAAGGCTCCGCCGCTTTACGTCGCAAGGAGCAAGGTAAGTGAGTAGTCAGCGACATCGATTGTGAATGATCAACCGGTGGTGCATGATTACAGTGGAATGTTATCGCATCCAAAGTTGCGGAGTCGTTGTCATGTCTCGATTTCGGTCGCGGCTTTTGCTGCACGTTGGCGCGAACTTTTTTGATGAGAGTTGCCAAACCCTGAAAGATAGAAGCCGCGAAGCCTGCGGTTGGTAGATTGTCGACATGTCAACCCGACCCTGACACTACATCAACCTTTACGAAGTCCCGGGTCAGACTCTTTTGAAGCCTTATCAGAGCAGTAAGGCTAAGGGTTTGGAGAAACTTTGCACGAAGGTTAGAGACCCGCCACAAAAGAACCCCTACAATCATAGCTTCATTTCAGAAGCCTTCAAGGCTTGACCTCAAGGAACCCTTGACAGAAGCCTCAAACCGCTACGCTCCAAAGTCCCTGCACCGGAAGCCCTAAGACCCGAATCCCAGAGATCCCTGAAAATTGCGGGTCGCTAAACCCCTAAACCCTACAACTCCTGAGCCGCCATAAATCCCTGAACTTGGGTGGTGGAGGAATACGAGTGGCGAGCCGCCGACTACGGGAACAAGGCGAGCGAAGTTGCCAAGGCGCTCTGGGAGGATCTTTGCGGTTTCATTTTGAAGGGTGCTGTCGGGGTTCCTTTTTTGGGAGTACTGTCAGGGTTGCTTTTAAAGTGATATATATATATATATATATATGAAGTCATTCTGCGGCTGTACGGACTCTACCCTCGGAGGACCGCCGGGATTCTTTAACGGGTTTAGGGTTGGGGGGTTAGAGTTGAGGGATCCTTGACGGGTACCAACGTGGTCTTCGGGTGGAAGACCCTGGGTTGACGACAAATTAAATTAGTAGTTGGGGCAGTAGGGATTGGAATCGTTTCGACGGGTGGCTGAGTCCGTTGTCCCTGGGGATCCGAGCGAGTATGGTGTGCGTGTATGAACGAACGAATTCCTTGGTCATGCTATGTCAGGCGATGAAGCTGGACGTGCGAGGGCTTGAAGGCTGTCCGGCAAGGGAAGATGATCAAAGCGTGTTTCAAGGTCGTGCAACGGACGGGGATTTAGTTTAGTGGTCTTCAGAGTTTCTTCACAGCGCTACTGATGGTCAGATGAAGAACGAGGAGATGATTTTCAATCGTTAGCACTGGGCAGGGGACACAGCAACGGCAAGAGCACGCACGTAGAACAAGGACCTTTCTACGTGGACTGGCTGTAGTTCCGCCGTTGGTCTTGTTCGAAACCAGTATCTATCCCAGGGCAACTGGCAAAGTCCCACAAAACCGTTGCCCAAGGCTGGAAGGCACTCACTTGCGAGTACAGTATAATCACTCTGACTTGCAGGCTTTGCAGTCCAATATTTCGGTGCAAAATATGTCGTACTCAGTTTACAAGACCGCACACCGTAGGGTGCACAATGCCGAGATACCCTGAGACAATTCAGTAGGACAGCACATAGCATGCTCTGAGTTGCTCGTACACACAGTACCGTGGCATATAGCTTTTTGGCACAAGGGGCTTTCGGAATTGCTTAGTTTCAATATCACGTTTTGCTCACTCATCCCATCGTCTTTGCTATACCAGTGCGCGTCGACAGTGGGGTTAAAAAAAGCCAGGCAGATATTGCAGCTATGTTTCGGACCCATGTCTTTGTCCAGGTATTTCTACCGCTTTGATCTGGTTTTCTTGAGTTCGGGGCTTGGGCTTCAGACTACATGCGCGGCATCGTGCAGAACATGTCGTACAAAGTTTGCAGCACCGCACACGTGCACAATGCCGAGAAACGCAGAGAAGC